TTAAAAAAAATAAGAGATTCACGTCAAGAATACGATATCGGCCGTGACTTTATCTAAAAAATTTGTTCGGAATTTACGGCTAAACTTCCGTTGGCTGGCATTAAGCCATATCAACCGTTCGATTGGTGACTAATGAATATAAATCTGTGATCCTCTTCTGATCGACACATTCAACGGCTGGCAATCCGTTAATCAATAATTTTCTGGTCAATAAGACAACATGTGAACCGGAGATTCCCATTCAATGAGGAACGAAAAAAAAGTCAACTTTACTACGCGTACCACCCTCTTCAAATAGCTCCGTAGTAGTTTCCAAATTGAAGCAGCGTCTTTGTGATCACCACCTTTGTGTTGTTTTCAATCAGTCTGATCAAATCCTCTCTAAGGAAAAAAAAAAATGGGTTTTTTGCAAAGAAAGGTCCATCTGGGTTCTCGTCTTGCTCTACAGCTGAGGAAGTTACCCAAGGAATTGATGGAACTGGCCTCACAGCCATTGTTACAGGTCTTGTTCTTTTCTAGTTCTGGATCTTTCTTTATTTTCTCACTTTTGATCTTTTCTAATGATATATTAAGCTTTTGTATCGCCATGCTCTGATGGGTGTGTTCAGCTATCAGCCCGAGATGTGTCTCTTTTTTCAGATTTGTTTTTCATACTGTTCGATTTATATACTAATGAAAAGTAGCAAAATTGCTCACACTACGAAGAAGTACCTTCTTTTTTCTTTTTTTCGTTGGGTAGTTTGGATTAGGTTTGGTTTGTTTAATGGTTTCGATATAACAACATCTTATAATGATTTGTAGACCGTAGTGTCTGAAGATACTGATTTTTACCTAACGAGTACTTTTAAGTGGTAATAAATATCATAAGTTTGAATCAGGATAATCCTTCGAGACCAGAATGTTTTAATTCTGGCATGAATTACTATCCGTTGAATTAAAAAAAAAAGAAGATACTGCTTTTGTGACTCCCCTGTTCTTAAGTACATTTCTTTTTGTTGGGTAGTTTGGATTTGGTCTGGTTTGTTTACTGGTTCCGATTTAACATCTTACAATGACTTGTATCTGAAGATACCCATTTTGTGTACTCCTGCAACTGGGTTGTCGTGATAGGTGCTAGCTAGGTATAAACTTGGGGGTTCCAAATGCGTAGGGCTGCAAATAGACCCAATTTGGTCCGAATTTAAATCTGTTTAATCAGATATGGACTAATATTTTCATTCCTTTGATCTGTATTAATTTAGATATCTTAAATCGAATATGAATATTAACATATACTAATTCGATCTAATAAAAATTCGATGTGATTAATATATATATGTATGTATATTGATGTTTATTACATATAAGACGAGTGATGCTCACATGTTGACAGGTCTAGAATCATTTATGCTAGTGTTGGTGAAAAATGATTATAGAAATAGGGAAATTCTTATGGTACCCGAAAAAAATTTCTGGAACTACTACCGTCAATTACTAATTTGTATAGTAAAGTTATAACTTTAAAAAGAGAAGTTGTAATTGTTCGAGAGAGGTCATGATCAATCACATACATCTATGATCAATCATAAAAAATGTGGTATCGATTTCAATATTCTATAATTGATACACCTTAAAAACATTATAAATTAACCGTAAAAAATTATAACTTTCGGTATCTATACCGTCGGGCGGTACCGTAGCAGTTCACATAGAAATATATGTGTGCTCATCATACTCTACTCTTTATGTATTTCAGGAGCGTCAAGTGGTATTGGCGTAGAGACCGCACGTGTCCTTGCCTTGCGTGGTGTACATGTGGTTATGGCTGTACGAAATGTGGATGCTGGAACAAAGATTAAAGAAGCAATACTTCAGAAAAACCCCACTTCTAAACTTGAGGTTATGGAGTTAGATCTGAGTTCAATGGAATCTGTCAGAAAATTTGCAACCGAGTATAACTCCTCGCGTCTTCCCCTGAATATCCTCGTGTAAGAAAACTATGTAACATTAACTCTACTGTTTTTCTTGTGGCTTATATATATGTATGGCTGTGTGTGTATGCGTGTGAATGTACAAGTTTATTTTGAATATAGCAATTAACAAGGAGTGGAATACATGGTGTTGGAAGTAACAATGCAGGTATCATGGGTCCTCCTTTCAAGCTTTCCAAAGACAACGTAGAACTGCAATTTGCAACTAACTATCTAGGTATGTTGAACATTGTTGCTCACTTGCTTGATGTTTATGTTTGCTCTGGAAGTTTGTGGGTGCTAGAAATTTTTCAACAGGAAGTGGTTTGTTTTCGGTCCTTCTTCACTGATTATTGCAAGAGACTAGAGTTCTGCTATTACATATGTCCTGAATATTTGATTGTTGATGATGATTTATTGAATGCAGTTTTGCTAGAATGTAAAATCATATGCTAGAAGAAAAAGGACATGTAGAAATTTGACTCTATAACTGATAATCAAGGTTGAATACTAACTTCTTAGTGGAAGTATAGAATTTACAGATCCGAGGAATCAAAAATGTTGGATTTGATGTTATTTATTCACAAATGGTTCCTTTGACTATGCTAAGTGGTCTTGTGTTTTTTTTTGACATTATGGCTAGTTATATCGAAAAGAGAGGTCTTCCTTTGTCCTCGCAGGGCTGCAAATGTATTCAATTAGTAGCTTTCAAGCATATGATCTATCTCCGATAGGAAGGATTCTTGTGAAAATGAGACTTTTTCTTCGAGTTGGAGATGGAAAACAATTCTTGTATTGGATGATTTTTAAGACGCTACATTGCATCTCCTAAATTGTTTTTACTTCATTGAGTTCCCTGCTGATATGTTTGTTACTCTCTCTTGAAAATGCAAGAAACATATGGTGTAAAATATAAGAAAATTTATCTCTGTTTGTGCAGGCCATTTTCTGTTGACAAATCTTTGTTGGAGAACATGAAAAATACTGCACGTGAAAGCCACAAAGAAGGAAGGATTGTTAATGTTGCATCAGACGGTTATAAGATCACTTATCCTGAAGGAATTCGTTTTGATAAAATTAATGATAAAAAAAGGCAAGCCAATGAACAGTTTTAATTTTTGTGCCTACCTAATGTTTAATTTTAATACATGAAATCCATTTAGCAGACATTAATCCTTACTATCTGGTTTTATTTTTCAGTTACAAGGATTTTCCTGCTTATGGACAATCAAAGCTTGCTAACATATTGCATGCCAATGAGCTAGCAAGGTGCTTCAAGGTAATTTGTTCTACTTCTTTCCGGACAACAGTGGGTTGCAAAGTGGATAGAAATTGTAGTAAATTCAGAGAATGCCATCAAGTATACCAGTTTGTTTTAGTGTCACTTTCATGGTTTTGTGTGTTTTGAGGCTGCAAAAGAGAATTTGGTTAGTGAATTTCTAGAGTGGTCTAATGGAGCGTTGATTACATTCTGCTGCAGTGTTGGATCCATTGAAAGAAACAAATGGCTGGATTCTAAATTCAACAATGAAAAACACCATCAAAAAGCACTGCCTAATTGGACTCACGAGTCATGAGACTTATAACATGCCAGTCCTATGTGATGACCTTGGGTCACAGTTCAGAGAGTATGCATTTGTTGTCATTTGAAACAGAACTGAAAAATCTCTCTCGAGCTTACTTAAGTCCCGACTTAAGAGAAGTCTAGTAGTCTTGGCTTACTTCCTGCAGAATTCTAATTGGTCATGTTGATGTTAACCGTAGGCTTCCAAATTATGTGAATGTTGGTAACTACGGGAAGTTGAGATTATTACTGAATTTTGTTGAACACATCATACATAGAGTTAAGGCTGTTACTTTACCATTCGAGTTGTGAGACATTGTCAATTGTCCCTTTTATTTGACATTCAATTGTTGTCCAATTATCATCCTTATTGGAATGTTGTATAATATCTGTTTTTTCTACCGTTAACCAGGAAGAAGGGGTGGATATTACTGCTAATTCACTTCATCCTGGAGCTATTTCCACTAATATTATGCGTCACCACAGCATTATGCATGGTAAACATCAGGCCTTTTCATCTTCTGATTGTTTATGTTCTACAAATTACATTAAGTATAGTTTGATTACATATTTCTGCTAGAAAGAACATATGCTAATTGTAAAACATTTAGATGCACTTTAAAAGAGGGAGTAGATATACGAGAGAGTTTACCCGTAGAATTGATACTATTCACTGTGTAGATATTTGTTATATATTCATCTGAAACTAAGTTGATAATAGAAGTTGGTCTCTAATTACTGGCTACATATTATTTAGCATACTAACATTATCAGTGTGTTGGAAAGTTACGTCCATGAAATATGAATTTTAGGTTTACAAGTTACAGCCGTGCTAGAATATGATTTTATTTCTTGAATATCCCAATAAATTTCAAACATAATCAGTCCGTAAGTTTCTCTCTCATTTAATGAGTCTAGAATTATCTGGATTGATGTCAATGCTTTTTTTTTTTCCCCATGATGCAGGCTTGTCTAATTTGATTGGTAAATTTGTGCTAAAAAGTATTGCACAGGTTTGTCATCTTCCATTTTTAAGTGCAATAATCTTTTATTTTTTACACAAGGATCCCGATGGTGGTGGTCCTTTTAGACAAACATAGCTCCCTATGTTTCCATGACAGAGTTTTCTTATAGATGTTGTTTCTTATGGTTTTAGGGAGCGGCAACTACATGCTATGTGGCACTGCATCCACAAGTTAAGGGTATAAGTGGTGAGTATTTTTCAGACAGTAATGTAGCTAAAACGGTCACCTCTCATGCTAAAGATGCAGAATTGGCAAAGAAACTATGGGATTTCAGCGCGAGCTTGACACAGCCCAAGTAGCTTGGATGACAGCGTTACTGAGTTGATCGATGAAATGCCTTTTCCAATCGTCATGTCTTTTATAGTTGTGAAGCTGTTGTGTAATATTCTTTGAAAAATCTGGAAGTTTGTTAGTAGTTTGTTTGTTCATTGTGAGCTTGAAAATATGTAAAACAGTTAGAGTGGATCCTCCTTTGTTTTTTGTATGTGTGTGTGTCTTTTTTCTTTCTGGGTTTGTTAAGCATAATAAAGAGTGGAAATTTGATTACAAAGATGGGGCTGTTGTTTTGTAATTATATGGAAAAGTTAGAATTGAGGCTTGTTATCTTATCCCAATGGTCACTCCACAGCCATTCATGTTGTATGCTGTATTGAAGCTACTAAGTCATCAACATCAAGGTACAAGATAATTTGCACAATGAACTTTTGTTCTTTCATTTAAGTTTTTTCCTATTAAATTTTATTGGCAAGGTTTTAATAAAACAATATTCATTTATCCAACACTATTTTAAATTAATGATCATCCAAAGAAGAGTGTTAAAACACATGTACATGGTGGATAAGACTGATAATTGAATTAAATTTTTGTGAACTTAAGCCAAAATTATCGATTTTCGTAAGTTCGAATCAAAATAGAATTGTTCAATGTTGGTGATAAGGACGAAATTAAATAGGGCAATGGGACATGGACCTTGTCACCAATATAGTACTTTGTCTTTTCCTCCACCAAAAAAAAATAAAAAAATTAAGAGAGAATTACACTTAGGTCCCTTGAGATTTGTCATTTAATCATTCAGACCTCTTGATATTTAAAATATTATACACAAACCATCTAAAGTTTGTATGTACGTAAGACTAAGATTCTTGTTGTCAATATTGGTTAATATATTTTTAGTAAATTACACTCAAACACCTTGAAATTTGTAAGCATATAACACTTAGACTCTTAAATTTTAAAATGTTATACTTAGACAAAAAATACTCAATAAAATATCAAATATTACAACCAAAATTTATATTTTATTATATCATTTATTGAAATAAAAAAAAAATAAGAATCTATTTTTTTCTTAAAAATTCGTAATTTAGTATACAATTATACTATTTATTAGAATAAAACTAAAAAAATTAAACAAGGGGTCTAAGTCATTCATAATATAACAAAAATTTTATAACAAAAATTTATGTTTTATTATGTCATTTATTGAAATAAAATAAAAAATAAAAATCTCATTTTTTCTTAAAAAGTCATAATTAATATACAATTATACTATCTATTAGAATAAAACTAAAAAAAAAATCAAATAAGGGGTCAAACTGTAACAGAAACAATATCTTTTAACTTTAAGTGAGATAATTTGGTTGTTTAATTTGATCATTTAGACAACTAAATTAAATTATAATAGATAGTATAATTGTATATTAATTATAATTTTTTTAAAAAAATTAGATTTTTATTTTTAATTTTATTTCAATAAACATCATAATAGAATATAAATTTTTGTTGTAAAATTTAAAATATTTGATATCCTATCTTTGATTAAAGTATTTTTTGGTCTAAAATACCAAAAATTTTATACAGATCACTCCAAGCCATATCATCCGTCGGATTATAGCCTTAATAAATATAAATCTATCATCATCCTTTGATTGACAAATCCAACGGCTGTATTACAATTTACTGGTCAAAAATACCGTCTGGAGTTTCCCAATCACGAAGGTTCGTTTGGTTAGTAAGAAAGAGACGACGAAAAGTGAAATGGATGGAAAGGGAAGTGAAAAAAATATATTTTCATATAAATGCATTTGGTTAGCTCAAAAAATTTTTAAGAAAATTTTAAAATAATTTCATTTCATTGTTTGAAAGAAAGGAAAGTTAGAAGAATTTTTTTTAATTGTTTAAATTATTCTTAATTAATTTAACTCGGTTTAAAGAAGAAAATATATTTTTTATTATTCAAATTTTTAAAAATTGACTCCTAACCTAATTCATAGATAAGAATCGATTCGAATCCTTATCTCTAGACCACATTATATGGTTAGTATAATTTGTATAAAATTTTTTAAAATTAATAACTAATTGAATATTTTAAGAAAAAGTAAGAGTAAAAAGAGAATTTAAATTATTAAACACAATTTTTTTACATTTTTTTTGTAAGAAAAAAAATTAGTTAGATTTTAAAAAATCTAAATATGAAAAAAAATTATTTTTTCATTTATTGTTTATTCTATGTTATACAAACACATATAAAATTGTAAATTTTTTTTTAATATATCTTTTAACATCATATAATTAAACAAACGGACCACAAGAAGCAAAAAAAGTCAACAACTTCTCCTGGTACGAGCCACTTCAAATAGCTCCATAATTTGTTTCCAAGTTGAAGCAGTGTCTTTGTGATAACCTTTGTGTTGTTTCAATCAGTCTGATCAATCCCTAAGAAAAGATGTGGTTTTTTGCAAAGAAAGGGCCATCTGGGTTCTCTTCTTCTTCTACAGCTGAGGAAGTTACCGAAGGGATTGATGGAACTGGCCTCACCGCCATTGTAACAGGTCTTCTTTTCTTCTGGGTCTGCCTTTGTTTTTTTTTTTTTTTTTTTCATGGATGTGTTCAATTATCAACCTAAGAAGTCTCTTTTTTAGATTTGTTGATGGTAGTGTTGACTTATGTACTCTGATGCAAGATCATGGCGACGATTGAAAGATAACAAAATTGCTCACCTTAAAATCTGTATGAAGTACTTTTTTTTTTTGTTGGGTAGTTTTGATTAGGTCTGATTTGTTTAATGGTTTCGATTTAACATCTTACAACGAGGTGTAGTGTCCGAAGATACTGATTTTGTGTACTTTTGCAACTTTGTTCTTGATGAACGCTTGAGGTTCCATATTTTCCGTCTGAGTTTTTCTACTTCTTTATGCAATTGCAGTTTGGCTAACGTTGTTGCACATAATATAGGTGGGTATGTGATAAAAATTGGTGGGCCAATTTGGGTCAAGTATGATCTTTTTCATTGGTTTTATTCTGATTTGGTCGTGGGAGTCTGAGTAAACCATTTACCATTTTACAATCATCCAAGAATCGTGCATATTCAGAGCGAGGTTTACAATATTATTTTAATCTCCATCTTAAAGGGTGACCCCATGGGCTCCTCAGCTCTTAAGGCATCATGTGCTGTGGCAAAGCCACATCCACACTAGGACTGGAATTTTTTGTTATTTTTAATATGTTATTAAGTTTGCCGCTTGTAGTATGGATCTTTTCAGTGTAGCCCCTTTCAGCACTATATTATATTTTGTTCTACCCTTGGTTTTTCAATTCCTGCCTTTGCTTCTGATCATGTGGTTTTCATTTTCACGTTAATATTTACTCATTTCCAATAGATTTGGCATTTTGAAAGTATGGTGGGTCAGCCTCTCATTTTATAATGAAAGCTGCTTATATAAATTTTTACTTTTTTCTGATGTCTGGTTCATATTCTTTTGGACCTCATGATATTTCTGAGTTTGTCACAAATGATATATGCCTGTCTTTTCCTATTTTGATGCTCACATGTTGACAGATCTAGAATCATTTATGCTAGTGTCGGTGAAAATTGATTAATGAAATATATCTGTGCTCATACTCTATGTATTTCAGGAGCGTCAAGTGGTATTGGCGCTGAAACCACACGTGTCCTTGCCTTGCGTGGTGTACATGTGGTTATGGCTGTACGAAATATGGATGCTGGAACAAAAGTTAAAGAAGCAATACTTGAAAAAAATCGCACTTCTAAAGTTGAGGTTATGGAGTTAGATCTGAGTTCAATGGCATCTGTCAGAAAATTTGCAACGGAATATAATTCCTCTTGTCTTCCCCTGAATATCCTCATGTAAGAAAAACTATGTAACATCTGAACATTTTACTGTTTTCTTGTGGCTTATATGCATGGTTGTGTGTGTGAGTGTGAATGTACAAAGTATGGTCGGAAGCCTACACTCTTACATTTCCACCAGTTTATTTTGAATATAACAAGGGCTGAAATATGTGGTGTTGGAAGTAACAATGCAGGTGTCATGGCTCCTCCATTTATGCTTTCCCAAGACAACATTGAACTGCAATTCGCAACCAACCATCTAGGTATGTTGCACTGTTGCTAACTTGCTTGATATTTATGTTTGCCCTGGAAGCTTGTGGGTGCTTGAAATTTGTAAACTGAAAGTGGTCTAGTTCAGTCGTTTTTCAGTGATTATTGCAAGAGACTAGAGTTTTGCTATATACATATGCCCTGAGAGTTGATAGGGATTAATTGAATGCAGTTTTGCTAGAATGTAAAATCAGTGCTAGAAGAAAAAGGACTTGTAGAAATTTGACTTTGTACCTGATAATCAAGGTTGAGTACTAACCTCTTAATGGAAGTATAGAATTTACAGATCCTAGGAATCAAAAATGTTGGATTTGATGTTATTTATTCATAAATGGTTCCTTTGACTGTGCTAAACTCCCTACATCTTGAAAAGTGGTCTTGTGTGTTTTTTTTTGGACATTATGCCTAGTTATATCGAAAAGAGAGGTCTTCCTTTGTCCTCGCAGAGCTGAAAATGTATTCAATTAGTACCTTTCAATTGTTTGTTCTTCTCGGCCTTTTTTTTCTTCTACTTTTGGTCTTGTTATCAATCAAGATGGTTGGGGGGTCTAGAAAACAAGATGGTTGCTGTATTTCTGTCTTCTACTTCTCTTTATCTTCTTATTTTTGTCCAAGTATGTGATCTTCTCCAATAAGAAGGATTTTTGTGAAAATGAGAGTTTTTTTTCTGGTTGGAGATGGAAAACAATTCTTGTAGTGGATGATTTCAAGATGCTATATTTGTCATGCCCCTGCCGCGGATCACTTAGGGTGAGCAATCGGTCAGCCACCAAGGCCTTAACCAACTAACCTTGTGCATAAAAAATGAAAAATATAGCAGAAGACAAAAAATAAAGTGATCTAATCCACCGACCAATGAATGCCAGAGAAATGAGGTAAACATCACCAACATCATTA